CAGATTCCAGGCGATTTCCCGATTCAGGGCGAGTTCCCTCGATTCCCAGGTTTCGGCACCACTTGTTGCCTTCGGAAAGGCAAGGCAACCTGGTTCAGGAACGGAACGGCGACCGACCCCTGGTCGCTCAGTCCATATGCACACAGACACCAACGTGGTGGATGACAAAATGGCGTTTATTACCATGCGGCATGGCATGATATAGCTTGAGTGACATCACATCCGTCTGCTTACATCACGGGGTGGGGGGAGCGCCCTGTCTTTCCATACAGCACGAGATCCTCCGGCCGCCAGACCCTGGCTACAGGGAAGAAAATAGCTTCTTTATTGAGTGCAGGTAACTGAAATAAAATTTACTTTCAGCATAATTTGCTGTAGCCCTGTATCTGGTACTGGTGCATACTTCAGACTACATCTGGAGTACTGCCTCCAGTTCTGGTCTCCCCAGTTCACGAGGGGCAGGGATTTACTTTAGAAAGTCCAATGGAGGGCTACAAGGATGGTTAAGGGACAGGAACACCTGCCTTATGAGGAAAGGCTGAGAGATTTGGGGCTTTTCAGTATAGAGAGCACAAGACCAAGAGGCGATCTTATTAATGTATATAAATACCTAAACAGTGTGTGTCAGGAAGGAGGGGGTAATCTCTTTTGAGTCATATCCTGTGATAGGAGAAGGGACAATGGATGCAAACTTGAAGACAGGAATTTCCACCTCAGCATGAGGAAAAACTATTTCCTGTGAGGGTTACAGAGCACTGAAACAGGCTCCCCAGAGAGGTTGTGGACTCTCCTCTGTAGACTTTCAAGACCTTTCAGGATGCATTTATGTGTGACCTGCCCTAGATTCTGTGGTGGTCCTTCTCTGGCAGGGGATTGGACTTGATTATCTCCAGAGGTCCTTTCAGCCCCTACCATCCTGTGATTCTGATTTTTTTCCACTTCAGTATTTACTACCAGATTATACATGTACCTCAAATCCTTCCATTAATTTGATTTTGTAACTGTCACCTACTGACAGGAGGAATAGTATGCTGCAAATAATACTCACATTCTGATCAGGAAGATAACCAACACTTTTGCCTGAGGAGAGAGGAAGATATGAGGTAGAGAAACCCCTTGATCAGACTATTTTTCATCTGCTCCTTAAGGCAATTATGTAATTATGCCAGGCAGCTTCCTGTTCTCCATGACCTTCCAAAGATGATGGAGTGTGGCTCAGCAATAACATCTGCCAGCTCTCTCAGCACTTGTGGGTGCATCCCATCAGGGCCCATGGACTTATGGATGTCCAGTTTGGCTAAGTGGCCTCTGACCTTGTCCTCCCCTGCTGAGGGAAAGTCTTCCTCTCTCCAGACCTTTCCCCTTGCCTGCAGGGTCTGGGATTCATGAGGGACAGCTTTAGCAGTGAAGACTGAAATAAAGAATGCATTCAACAAATCTGCCTTCTTTGTATCTTCCACCACTAGGGTGCCAACCTCATTCATCAGAGGGCCTCCATTTTCCCTAGTCTTCCTTTTTCTGTTGAATGTTATCTTTAACTGCAGCTGCCAAGTCAAGCTCTGCTTGAGCTTTAGCCCTTCTAATTTCCCCCCTGCATAGCTTCACTACATCTTGGCATTCCTTGTAAGTTGACAACCCCCTTTTCCAAAGACTGTAAACTTTCCTTTTCTTCCTGAGGTCCAGCCAAAGCTCTCTATTCAGGCAGGCTGGTCTTTTTTCCTGTTGGCTCGTCTTTTGGGACCTGGGGATGGCCTGCTCCTGTGCTTTTAAGAATTCCTTCTTGAAGTATGACCAGCCTTCCTGGGCTCCTTTGCCCTTCAGGACTCTCCCAAGGGAGACTCTAAACCTTTCTCTGACACAGGCCATAGTCTGCTGTTTGGAAGTCCAAGGTGGCAGTTCTGCTGACTTCCCACCTTGCTTCTCCAAGAATTGAGAACTCCATCATTTCATGATCACTCTGCCCAAGGCGACCTCCAACCTTTACATACCGCAAAGGCCTTCTCTGTTAACATGCAGCAGGTCCAGCAGGGTGCTGTGCCTAGTTGGCTCCCTCCCCAGCTGTGTCAGGAAGTTGTCTTCCACACACTCCAGGAACCTTGTTCCCTCTCTGTTCTCTCTCTTCTGTGTTGTATTTCCAGTAAACATCTGAGAAGTCGAAGTCCTCCATGAGAACAAGGGCTAGAGGTCTCAAGACCTCTGCCAGCTGCTTACAGAATATTTCAGCAGCGTCTACATCCTGGTTAGAGAGTCTCTAACAAACTCCCACCATGATGTCTGCCTTATTGGCTGGGCTAATTGTCCTGTCACCTTTTTGAGGGACAAGCTCTAATTCCCACCTGACCACGTTCAGACACTTCTGTAGTTACCAACCCCTCATGTCTTTGCTGCCACATGGATCATCATCCTCTACCTCCATTGAGATAACACGAATGAATTCACATACTGTATCTCCAAGTACCAATACACCCCTCTTCATGACAAGAAAAACAATTGTCAGCAAATGACTATCACAAATATGTTTCATACTCCAAGTGGGATCAATTATTGAAACTCGACTTCTATAAATGTGATGGTTTTAATAATGTTTAATTCAGGCTAGTGAGGAAGGACAGGAGCCACCTTTCAAAAAGGACCTACTTTGGCTTTCATGCCAACTGCTTTCCATAATCTATTACCAGTGTTCCTTTCTGTGTCTGCTAAACCCTTACCTATGGATGGTTATAGATGTGAGCAATTTAGACAACATAGCATTTCACATGAAAAAGAAGTTAACCACTTAATAGATGTTCAAGACCAGGTCAGAATCTCATCAGGTTGGAGGTGTGGTATGAAAAGTGAGTAGAGTACCAC